CATTGCAAAATTACTCTGGGCACTACATCCATATAATTTGGGGGTGATGGATTTGTGCTATCAATAACGTAGCCAGGTACACAACATGTGAGATTATGGTTCTAGAATCAGGTGGGACATTTTCCATAGTAGCATGACCAAAGTGGGATTTGGTAGGACTACACAGGAAGCGAACTCAGAAATGAGATTGAAAATTTGCTTCCAAAAGGGAAGTTAAAGATTTACAATACCAAAATACGTGCACCAAGGAGCCCACAGCTCCACACTTTCTACAATATATAGAGAAGGTTGCCCTTCTTTAAATTTAGACAATTTGTATGGCGTGAGGTACCATCTATGTAAAATTGTAAGTTGAAGCTCCGAATGATTAACACAGTGTGATACAGTATAGGTAATTTTAATTGCTGCTTACCATTGTTCGTCCGTGTAAGAGTTTCCTAAATCTTTCTCCCATTTAGACATCTTCGTAGACTTTGTAAATACCTTTTTATCTCCTAGCTTGTTATAGAATAATCTAACAGTAAAAACATACTCGCAAACGATGTGAATAACAAGCATAATACTCCTTTGATCTGGAGGGGAAGTAACCCGTGTAACGTAGAGCACGTAAGACGCCGATCCGACTGCTGGCTTGCCGCCCCACGGTACCTTCGCTGCTAACGGCTAACACATTTCTGAAGCATGACCCCTCCGTCAGAGCTACCAATGGGTAGCCTACCTGTCCGTTAAAAAACCAAGACCCACCAATCAGAAGCCTCTTTTCGGTCGACCAATTAAAACCCTTAAATAGGTACCCATAGAAACCAATTGATTAGACCTGCACCACTGGCTAAATATGCAGGTAATAGGAGTAACCTCTATTTAAATATTCTTTATATATATAGAAAATCCATAAAATTCTCCTAAAAATAAATAATAAAGATTAGACAACAACCAGAGCCGGCTACAAAAATATATTTTGGTAAAAAAAAAAAAATCAGTCTAAAATCTCGATCAGGAGATAATTCAATGATAGTGGTTAGAAGTCAATGATAGTGGTTAGAAGGTAAAAGTGGCATAGGTAGCTCAACTCATTGGCATATTTAACCATATTAGCACAGAAGATTTTTCTCTAAAAAAAAAAGGAATACTACATGTGTGTGGGACAGGGACATGAGGCAAAACACACGTTTACACAATATATGATGATATGAATTTAAAACCAAAAATACATGAGTTAGTGCAGGGTTCAAAATTTCAAGTCCTGAGCTACTAGCCAGGCCTTTCAAAGTTACTTGCCACCAGTTGCCCCACCTAAACCCTACCCCTACCCAAGCCTTAAATCTGCGCTGTGACGCACAGTACAGGGGTCAGTGTGACGCACAGCACAGATGTCAGTGTGACGCACAGCGCAGAGGTGAGCGGTGTAAGGAAGAAAGAAAGGGGACTTACAGTGCACTTAGCTGATGGTATTCAGGTGTCCTCTTCTTTCTCCTGGTACCGCCGCTGCGATCGTTCGCTTCCATTCTCCTCCTCGGCCGCTCTGTAGCTGCAGGTATAGAGGAGGAGAAGAGAGAATAGAAGCGAACGATCGCCGCGGCGGTAGTGTCCCATCCCTGGTCCCGCCGGCGGCGCACCGCCTCAATGACATTCCAATCGCCGCCACGCAATTTTCCCTCGCCAAATGCGAGGATAAATTTTGAGGCCTGAGTTAGTAGATTGTATCATGTCCCTTTCCAACATGTATTATATTAAGGCCTAATGGGGGGGAGGGGGGTCCTGTTCAGGAATCTCAGAGCAATGACACAGCTCTGTTTCTTTTGACTGGGATCTATTTATGATTTTACTTACTTTATTAGTCATATTAATAATCAGTGACTTCTGTAATTAGAGGACCACTATATATTGTTGGGACTCTGACCACCAGCTTCAAATATTTGGCAGGTTTAATTTATGTATTATATTGTATGGTCAATAAAGCATGCATACTTTGTTTAGATGTTCAAAGTAATTTATGAGTGTCTATACAATATAGTTTACGTCCCTGCCAAGGATTCAAGCTCCAGCTTACCATTTATAGTTAAGAGAGGTGAGATTGATATCCCCAAGATGTTTGATCTGCATATATGCTGTCCTGTTAAACCATGTGCTATTATCAATTACTGACCAAATTAAAGCTGAAGTTTAGGGATTTATTTTGGGAAGGATGCATCACAAAACACATTAGTTACCTGTAAAGATATGTATTCCATCTACTACTTCCATAATATCTGATGGATATTGCCCCAAGCAGCTACATACTGGTGCTGAATCGGTTTACTGCATCAACTTTTAGAGTTAAGAGTTAACTGCTCACCCACCCCATCATGCCCTGTCTTACTATTCTTCCAGAAAGCATCACATTCTGTGAATGGACAGGGAGATCCTGTCATTGATCTTCTCCTCCTCCATTTACAGAACATGATGCATTGTGGGAGAATAGAGGAACGAGCATGAAGGAACGGGCAAGCTGTGCAACTATTCACGGTAGCAACGGCTGCTGTTAACCCAAACAGGACTAAAAAAATAGACGAACAAGAAGCAGCGGTCATCAGGAGATGGAATACACACCATTACACATAACTAATGTATTTATGTATTTGGGGGCCACACTGCTCCAAATTTGAGAAATGTATGGCCAGCTTAACCAGTTGACATCCGCGATGTTAAACCCCCTTCCCATCCAGGCCATTTTTCAGTATTCAGCGCTGCGGTACCTTGACTGACATATAGGCGAACGAGCACATATAGGCGATCGGCGTGCTATGGACCCGCTGATCGCCTATATGTGAAACACCCGGTAACGGGTGTGTTTAATCGTCGGGTCTTTTCTGCCCGTGCGTGCCCAGAAAAAAATTGCCGTCTGGAGACGGCAACCCGCAGATGTAGCAGTGCCGTCCGTCCGTTTTTTTACTACGGGCGGACGGCAAGAGGTTAAGGGATCCTGTAAAGTCATAAAACACCTTGTGATCCTGCCAGTCCCCTTAGAAAACTAACCCTTCCTGTTTGTTACTGATCACACTAAGCAGTAGACCTGTCCTGATGTAGTCAGCGGTCAGCCTGGAGTTCAAATTTAAACTTCTCATGATTAGGTTGACATTACCGGTATCTGGCAAAATATCCAATGTTATTTGGCTACTTTTCACAACAGACGCTGGAGTCACATATAAGCTCACATACAGTCCACTAACGTTCATTGAGGGCTAGTTCACACCAAACTAGAGGTGCACCGAAATGGAAATTTTAAAACCGAAATAAAAAAAATTGCCAGGTCTAAACCGAAAATGTTTTTTCTTTAAATTTTTTTTCACATTTTTATTTTATTATTTATTTTTTAATAAACATTTTAATTTTTGTATATTTATTTTTATTTATTAATCAATTTTTTATTAAATATTTTTATTTTCTATTTTACTTTTAGGGGCTTCAGGGAAATATTAGGGGTCTAAACAGACCCCTGATATTTCCCTTTTAAAATAGAAAAAGAGATTGAGGACACAAAGTCCTCTCTCTCTTTTTCTGCAGCCCCCGTTATCAATCAACAGGAATCCTCTATACTGAGTGTTCCTGTTCATTCTTAATTTGAGAACATTGTATGTTTACTATAACCACAATCATGAATGAACAGGAGGGGATGTAGATCACTTCCCATTCATTCATAATTGAGGATATAGTAAACATACCATGTCTTCAATTATCTACAAACACTCAGCGATCACTGATCACTGAGTGTTTGTAGCTTGCTCTCCTCTCTGACTCGCTGTCACAGGAGGCTGATCGAGCGGTGCAGAAAGGAGGGCTCAGCCTCCTGTGACAGCGCGGCCTGTCTCCGCCCACACACCGCTCTGCTGGACTGTGATAGGAGGCTGAGCGGTGTGGTAGGAGAGACGCCCGGCCGCTCACAGCGCTCTCCTCACGCAGCACTCGGCCGGCTATCACAGTTTATCTCCTCCCAATTGGGACACAGAGCAGCGCCCAGCGGGGAGGAGAGAAAGCAGGGATGCACCGCTGTATCGGCAGGAAAATTGCACTTTCGGCATTATGCCAAAAGTGTCATTTTCGGCTGATATGATTTGGCGGCCACTATATAGGTGCATCCCTACACCAAGTGCTTTCTAAGAGCAGAGCAGTTGCAGAACGGATCAAAACCGCGTCCAATTTATTCCAATGGTATTTTGGGCTCTAGTTTACACCGCAGTGTTCAGTTCCAAAGCATGTAAAAAAAAACTGCAGCAAGCCCTATTTTACCTGCTCTGGAACACATGTAAACTCATAAAAAATGCATGCAAATGCCCTGGAACGCACTGAAAGCCAATTTTAGGCTAAAAAAAAAAAAAGTGGCAAAAAACGCGGCAGAACACAATGCACTGCGTATGCAGAAACTCATGCAGATCTGGTCTGCATTTGGTGTGAACAAGCCCTGAAACTAAATGGCTAGCTTTGGGTGAAGTTCTCATTTTAAAAATGACACAGCTGGTAGTCTTGAGAATTCATTTACCAGCCTTCAGAATTACAACAACTTGGTTTTCTTAAATCTCTGTAGAGTTTGTCAAATAATTGTTTATATGCCCATCAGTATCGGTTGAGGAGCTACAGTATATAGGTGCTATAGAAGCACAGAAAGAGGTTCTCTGACCTCACTTTGCCAACCTTCATTTGTCAAATCTAGAATGGACTGGGGGGATCCCTGCTTGACAGTGCTACCCTGTGTGCTGGTATAAATGAGTGCCCATTCACACCAGAGCTGCAGCACACGGTGGCCAGGAGGTGCCATTCAAATGAACAGCAATGCAAAACACCTAGCGCAAGGTAACACACACTAGGTGTGTTGTGTAATAGCATGCATTAATCATGCGGTATTGTACGATTAACGCAATACTACAGGAGAAAAATGATAAAGAGATTAATGCTTGAAGATAATCCATAATTTCAGATCGTGTCCATTGAATGTTGTTATTTTCTATTTAATGAATTCTGCTAACCTTTTTATTTTATCCTCTTGCTTGCGTGCTTGCTGTTTGAGTAGAAAGTGCTCATCATGCATTTGTAAATATCTGTCCTCTAGTTCTTGTCGGGTAATACGAGATACTGCTTGTCTCGCTTTCATTCTCTGTGGAGAACCAGAATCTAAAAAATAAATAAATAAATAATAATATTCACTAAGAGATATATACGATTTATCCATCCACATTATGTTATTTTCTATGACAAGCTAGCATTCCACCTGTAAAGCCATAAAAGAAAAGATATGCTGGGACTCTCATGTTTTGTCACAGAGAAGCATGTTCGGCAGAGTTGAAGGAAACCTGTCAAGGTAGAACTATGAAAAATGTCACTACTGACTTGTTTTTGAAGTAGCAAACTTGTCATTTTTTATTTTAAAAATACGAATGCAGCCAGTGAAGAGTTGGGACATCTGATACAAAGATACTTGTCACAGAGCAGTATCTTTAAAATTTACTTAGCATTGATACCCTTCATAGTGTATCCACTATAACCCAATATAATCCTTTTAATTACTCTACTTCCAGAATTATTATTATACTGTAAATAGTAGCATACGCAGTATAGTCTCCTATGACCAGAAAATCATCTTAAATGTATTTATTCTGATTATTTTCTTTAAAGTGCAAGTAAACCCTAACAATGCACTTCTCAAATTTGCTCTCTTATAGTCCGTTGAAAGAGAACTATGGGGTTAAGGCTTTTCCCCATAGTTCTCCTTAGGGTAACGGGAGGACACAAACTAGCGTTCTCCCGTCACCCTAGGCTCAGTATACCGCGAGCTGTAGCTCGCGGTATACGGAGACGCCGCAACTGAAGCGGATCCCGACAATTATGCCGGGATCTGCCCAGCTGCGTGACTGACAGCTGGCTCTGCCTATCTAGAGGCAGAGCCAGCTGTACCCGCCCCCTCCCCCGTCCGTTCCGCCAGTCAGCGCTGGCGGATCGGAGCGGGGAGGGGGGAATCCAGCCCCTCCCCTGTCACGGCAGAGAGCCGTGACAGGATCGAGAGGTGAGCGAACGCCGGTATGTGTTCGCTCACCTCCCGATCTACTGAGCCGACCTGTGACAATGTCATTGTCACAGGTCGGCTAGAACTATGAGGTGAGTGAAAAGCACTCCCTTCTCCTTTAACTATAACATTGCAAGTGTTTTGTTATATCTGTTTGATAAGTGCGAAAACATGCACAGAACATAAATTCAGTGAACTCTTCATGTCCTTTAAACTCTGCTAGTGCTGGACTCAAAACTCAAGCTATGTTTTCAGCCCTGCTCAGTTCTCCTCTGTAAACTACAGAAAACCTTTCCATATGTTATGAAGGTTAGGAAAGGAGAGGTGTTCTGTAGTGCTAACACTGTTACTGTCCTGACTAATGCAGCTACCACATCTAAAGACTGGTAATATTAATATATTTAACACTTAGTTTAAGGGTTCAGATACACTTTAAGCATTTCAACAGAATTCACACAAAAATCATTTTACTGCAGTCAAGTTTACATATTTACAATTAGGGATGCACCGATATATCGGCCGCCAAATCATATCGGCCGAAAGTAACACTTTTGGCATAATGCCGAAAGTGCAATTTTCTGGCCGATACAGTGGTGCATCCCTGCTTTCTCTCCTCCCCGCTGGGGGCTGCTCTGTGTCCCAGCGGGGAGGAGAGAAACGGTCCCCGCTTTGTTTACCGCAGCTTGGCACTGCAAGCTACCATTCAGTTTGTGGTCTACAATGACCCCCGAGCGCTGCGGGAGGAGAGCGTTGTGAGCGGCCGGCGTCTCTCCTCCCACACCGCTCAGCCTCCTGCGACAGATCAGAGGAGAGCAGTGTGGGCGGAGACAGCCAGCACTGTCACAGGAGGCTGAGCTCCGCTTGCTCAGCCTCTTGTGACAGCTGTCAGGAAGGAGAGCAAGGTACAAACACTCAGTATCAGTGATCGCTAAGAGTTTGTACATAATTGAGGACATTGTATGTTTACTGTATCCTCAATTATGAATGAATGGGAGTGAGCTACATCACCCCCTGTTCATTCATGATTGTGGTTATAGTAAACATACTCTGTCCTCATGTTATGCATGGACAGGAACACTCATAGAGGATTCCTGTTCATTTATAACAAGGGCTGCAGAAAAAGAGACAGAGTCCTCAATCTCTTTTTCTATTTTAAAAGGGAAATATCAAGGGTCTGTTTAGACTCCTAATATTTCCCCGAAGCCCCTAAAAGTGAAGTAAAAAATATATTTAATAAAAAAAGAATAAAAATGAATGTAACAAAATGTAAAAGTTTATAAAAAATAAAATATATATTTTTTGAAAAAGTGAAAATAAAAAAACATTTTTGGTTACGGCCTGACATTTTGTTTTTATATTTCGGTTTCAAAATTTTCATTTCGGTGCACCTCTATTTCAAATCATGTTTTTATGTGTGCTGGCGCCACACGGCTGGCCGCAGACTTTCATTGGGCATTCAATCGTGTCCGTCGGAAAAACTGACAGGCCGACCTGATCAGACCACCTGAGTGAAAGCAGCCTAAGGCTGCAATATGACAGTTCAAGAGTGGAGATTTGGCGTACTACAAATGCCAGTAGGTCACTGAATCTCTTTAAGGACCTATGTGCAGAACAAGGAACATTCCTGTCAAAATCCTATGGATCTATTTCAATCAGAACTGGTGTTCCCAAAAAAGCTTCAGTCAAGAAGGCCTAAAGGGTGTGATATTATTTCTTCTTGTCCTTTTTTTAGATCAGGTAGCTGGCATATTTAGGTCTATGGGGTGCACAGTGTCTTCAAGACCATAGATTAGATGCCCCATTTCATAGTTACATAGTATTTGGGGTTGAATAAAGACATACATCCATCAAGTCCAACCCATATAGGTCCACGCATCATCTCATTCTTAGGGATACTGGTATCCCTGGATATTACGGTCCCTCAAGAAATTGTCCAAACGTTTCTTGAACAAATCTACACTCTTGGCTGAAATCACTGCCGATGGCAGTGAGTTCCAGACCTTAACCGCTCTTCGCCCATTGTGCTGGAATTTCTTCTCCACCAACTTTAGGTGGTGGCCTCTAGTCTTTGTAATGGAGTTAATCTCAAACAGTTTGTTGCCAATGTTGCTGTTACTATTGAACATCTTGTACATGAACATCATATCCCCCCTTAATTCCAGCGTAAACATGTTTAAGGTCAGAAGCCTTGTCTCATAGCTCTGGTCCTCCATTCCCCTAATTCGTTTTGTTGCCCTCCGCTGGACTCTCTCCAGTTCAAGGACATCCCTTCTCAGTACCGGCGACCCAAAACTGGACCGTGTACTCCAGATGTGGCCGAACCAACTATCTATATAGAGGCACAATTATAGACTTGTCCCTGCAATACATCCCCTTCTTAATACAGGACAAGACCCTGCTAGCTTTGTTTACCGCAGCTTGGCACTGCAAGCTACCATTCAGTTTGTGGTCTACAATGACCCTCAAATCTTTTTCTATTTCTGACTTCCCTAGCGGCATACCCATGATTGTATAGCCTATTTGTTTATTTTTATGTCCAAAGTACATTACTTTGCATTTATCGACATTAAACCTCATCTGCCATAGTATTGCCCACTCCCCTATTTTATCCAGGTCCTCCTGTCTTGCTCAGCCTCTTGTGACAGCTGTCAGGAAGGAGAGCAAGGTACAAACACTCAGTATCAGTGATCGCTAAGAGTTTGTACATAATTGAGGACATTGTATGTTTACTGTATCCTCAATTATGAATGAATGGGAGTGAGCTACATCACCCCCTGTTCATTCATGATTGTGGTTATAGTAAACATACTCTGTCCTCATGTTATGCATGGACAGGAACACTCATAGAGGATTCCTGTTCATTTATAACAAGGGCTGCAGAAAAAGAGACAGAGTCCTCAATCTCTTTTTCTATTTTAAAAGGGAAATATCAAGGGTCTGTTTAGACTCCTAATATTTCCCCGAAGCCCCTAAAAGTGAAGTAAAAAATATATTTAATAAAAAAAGAATAAAAATGAATGTAACAAAATGTAAAAGTTTATAAAAAATAAAATATATATTTTTTGAAAAAGTGAAAATAAAAAAACATTTTTGGTTACGGCCTGACATTTTGTTTTTATATTTCGGTTTCAAAATTTTCATTTCGGTGCACCTCTATTTCAAATCATGTTTTTATGTGTGCTGGCGCCACACGGCTGGCCGCAGACTTTCATTGGGCATTCAATCGTGTCCGTCGGAAAAACTGACAGGCCGACCTGATCAGACCACCTGAGTGAAAGCAGCCTAAGGCTGCAATATGACAGTTCAAGAGTGGAGATTTGGCGTACTACAAATGCCAGTAGGTCACTGAATCTCTTTAAGGACCTATGTGCAGAACAAGGAACATTCCTGTCAAAATCCTATGGATCTATTTCAATCAGAACTGGTGTTCCCAAAAAAGCTTCAGTCAAGAAGGCCTAAAGGGTGTGATATTATTTCTTCTTGTCCTTTTTTTAGATCAGGTAGCTGGCATATTTAGGTCTATGGGGTGCACAGTGTCTTCAAGACCATAGATTAGATGCCCCATTTCATAGTTACATAGTATTTGGGGTTGAATAAAGACATACATCCATCAAGTCCAACCCATATAGGTCCACGCATCATCTCATTCTTAGGGATACTGGTATCCCTGGATATTACGGTCCCTCAAGAAATTGTCCAAACGTTTCTTGAACAAATCTACACTCTTGGCTGAAATCACTGCCGATGGCAGTGAGTTCCAGACCTTAACCGCTCTTACTGTAAAGAACCCTCTTCGCCCATTGTGCTGGAATTTTTTCTCCACCAACTTTAGGTGGTGGCCTCTAGTCTTTGTAATGGAGTTAATCTCAAACAGTTTGTTGCCAATGTTGCTGTTACTATTGAACATCTTGTACATGAACATCATATCCCCCCTTAATTCCAGCGTAAACATGTTTAAGGTCAGAAGCCTTGTCTCATAGCTCTGGTCCTCCATTCCCCTAATTCGTTTTGTTGCCCTCCGCTGGACTCTCTCCAGTTCAAGGACATCCCTTCTCAGTACCGGCGACCCAAAACTGGACCGTGTACTCCAGATGTGGCCGAACCAACTATCTATATAGAGGCACAATTATAGACTTGTCCCTGCAATACATCCCCTTCTTAATACAGGACAAGACCCTGCTAGCTTTCTTTACCGCAGCTTGTCACTGCAAGCTACCATTCAGTTTGTGGTCTACAATGACCCTCAAATCTTTTTCTATTTCTGACTTCCCTAGCGGCATACCCATGATTGTATAGCCTATTTGTTTATTTTTATGTCCAAAGTACATTACTTTGCATTTATCGACATTAAACCTCATCTGCCATTGTATTGCCCACTCCCCTATTTTATCCAGGACCTCCTGCAATGTTATATTGTCACAATCTGTTTCTAGTACCCTCCCTATTTTTGTATCGTCTGCAAACACGGAAACATTTCAGTTGTGCTCTTAAAGCTTCTGGGCACCTTGTAAGGATATGTCCATTCAGAATGCATCTATGAGGAAAGTGAGAGAAGACTCTCAATGCTTAATGGCTTTCATGACTCCTACATAGAGGGCTCAGCATATGTTTAAGCATCAACAATGTCTGAGCCAGTATTCTGACTACACTGCAATGGTTTATCTATATCTTTCTCAAGGTGTTGTCAGAGAGGTGAGCAATGATGACACAGGTTTTTCTTTTAGTGATCAATGCACTTAAGAGAGGAATACCTATGCCTCTTTTTAGGTTTCCACTGTGAGTGGCCTCCATTTGTTGAATCTGTCAAACAAAGAAAAACAGATGGGCTGTCATTGCTGGTCTACTTCAGAAAATGCCAGTTGCTTGGCTGTCATGTAAACCTCTGCTTCTCTACATTGAGGCATTGATCTGGAACAAGAAGGCAGTATGTAAGGACTCCCAACTTTTATATTTGTGGCAGGGCAGTGACTTCAAACTAGTACTTTTAGATTTGGGTTGGCTATTACAGCTTATTCAGACGAGTTGGAAATTACATTTTGTTACACAATAACAGCTATTACGTAGACACTGACAAGGATAACACTATTTGCAGTACTGTACGCTGGTCTAAAAGTACATTATGATATGACAGGATAAGTAATTTTAGAACAAAACAAACCTTGAATTCCGGAAGGGCTCGATTCCAGATCCCTCACTGGAAGATCTGCTGCTGTCTCATCATTTGGAGCGGCCATTTTCAAACTGGCAAATAAGAAAGAAATCACTTAGTTCAGCATGTTTCCTGCAAAGCTCAAGCATGAAGTGTAACATTTAAGAGGAAACTTGTTAAGGGCCTGTTCACACGACGTCCGTTTTCTGTGCTGACCTGATCCGTACGCTCCTGCACTAAAAATGCATCCCAATGTATCCTTATGTGTTTTATGGGCTACAGTTCTCACGTGCTCAGTCCGTTCAGGTTACAACAGAAAAAATACTGCATGTCACATTTTGTACGGTCAGGAAACGGACAGGAAACACAAAACACATCAAAAACGCGTCAAAAACGCACTGCACTGCAGCTAACATACTGACAACCCCACTCCAGAAAAAAAAATTGTTAACTGAAACGCATCAAAAACGCGGCCAAAACGCACATCATGCATCAAAACGCACATCATGCATCAGTAGCACCGCGTCTGAAGATCTGCACCTGATCAGGACCTGATATCATGTGAACAGAAAGAGTTAGAAAAATATGAAGGCTGCCATTGCTGACCTCTAAGGGCATAGAGTCTATAGATAGGAAACTGCCCCTCTATCTATTTGAAATCAGCCATATGGGAAGACTGTCATTCCATGTGTACAAATGTGGATGAGTGAGGAGGAACTCTGGACCTTGGGTAGCAAACAAGGGGTAACAAGGGGGAGATGCAAGCACCTAAACTAAATGCATGTACAGTATTTTGTAGAGAGCTGGGAGGTAAGATTTTATGTGCTTGAGGGTATACTGCCTGCATATTACAAAAAAAAAATGGGCTGGTTTACCACAGTGCAGAGAAAAAAGCATTGCATTAAGACAACATGTAATTTGATAAATGTAAAGATACACTATATTGCCAAAAGTATTGGGACGCCTGTCTTTACACGCACATGACCTTTAATGGCATCCCAGTCTTAGTCCGTATGGTTCAATATTGACTTGGCCCACCCACTGCAGCTATAACAGCTTCAACTTTTATGGCAATGCTGTCCACAAGGTTTAGGAGTGTGTCTATGGGAATGTTTGACCATTCTTCCAGAAGCGCATTTGTGAGGTCAGGTACTGATGTTGGACGAAAAGGCCTGTCTCGCAGTCTCCGCTCTAATTCATCCCAAAGGTGTTCTATCGGGTTGAGGTCAGGACTCTGTGCAGTCCAATCAAGTTCCTCCAGCCCAAAATCATTCATTCATGTCTTTATGGACCTTGCTTTGTGCACTAGTGCGCAGTCATGTTGGAACAGGAAGGGGACATGCCCAAATTGTTCCCACAAAGTTGGGAGCATGAAATTATCCAAAATGTCTTGGTATGCTGATGCCTTAAGAGATCCCTTCAGTGGAACTAAGGGGCCAAGCCCAAACCCTGGAAAACAACTACACACTATAATCCCCCCTCCACCAAACTTTACACTTGACACAAAGCAGTCAGGCAAGTATCGTTCTCCTGGCAACCGCCAAACCCAGACACATCCTTCGGATTGCCAGACAGAGAAGCGTGCTTTGTCACTTCAGAGAACACGTCTCCACTTCTCGAGAGTCCAGTGGCGGCGTGCTTTACACCACTGCATCCGATGCTTTGCATTGCACTTGGTGATGTAAGGCTTGGATGCAGCTGCTCGGCCATGGAAACCCATTCCATGAAGCTCTCTACGCACTGTTGATGTGCCAATCTGAAGGTCACACAAAGTTTGACAATCTGTAGCTCTTGACTCTGCAGACAGTTGACAACTTCTGCGCACTGTGCGCTTCAGCATGCGCTGACCCCGCTCTGTCATTTTACGTGGCCTACCACTTCGTGGCTGAGTTGCTGTTTGTTCCCAGTTGCTTCCACTTTGTTATAATACCACTGACAGTTGACCGTGGAATATTTAGTGGCAAGGACATTTCACGGATGGACTTATTGCACAAGTGGCAACCTATCACGGTACCATGCTTGAATTCACTGAGCTCCTGAGAGCGACCCATTCTTTCACAAATGTTTGTAGAAGCAGTCTGCATGCCTAGCTGCTTGATTCTATACATCTGTGGCCATGGAGGTGATTGGAACACCTGAATCCAATGATTTGGAGGGGTGTTCCAACACCTTTGGCAATATAGTGTATGTCCTTGAGTGCTGAAAACATGCACACATTTTACAATCAAGGGGAGTAAACTGGGAAAATCAGTGATGGAAAAGGTTCTGGGTTTCCTAGTAGATCACAAACTTAAATCTCAATGTCACTTCTTTACTCTAAGAGCTGTAAAAATGTGGACATTGTCTTTTACAGGAACCAGTTCAAGCTGACTCTACATATACTATGAAGGGAATTTATCAAACCTGGAGCAGCTGTGCATGGCAACCAATCAGCTTCTATCTTTCATTTTCAAATCTTAACTGAGCGAACTGAAGAGAAAAGCTGATTGGTTGGTATGCCCTCTGTCCAGTTTTGATAAATTTCCCCCTGTATATTTTCTGACCCCTTCCCTCAACTTGACTCACTCATGATAGAGTGAAAGAGTGCCTCCCCCATTCACATGTCTACTTCCTAGTGCTCTTCCTACCATTTTCTCACCATCAAATCCTGTCGGCCAAAGGCTGGAAGAAAATAGTGTTGTGCAGGGAGCTAGAGTAGTTTTGACCTGCACACATGTCTTTCAGGTGGCTCATCTGCTGGTTATCTCTTATTGGGGCTGCCATTGCCTGCCTTCCTACTCACATCTGTCTCCTTAACCATAAACCTACACTCACATCACAATATATTACTCCAGCCATTATTACCCCCTGAGTGGTTTCCTCTGCTATTTCATCCCTTTCTGATACTCAGTGCTGCCCCTCCATCCCTTCACCCTAAGTTCTCTCTCTCTTTTAATACCTTTGCCTTACTGTTGTCTTCTTCTCTCTACCTTTAAAAGGTGTTCTAAACCCTCCCGTTTTTTTTGGTTTTTTTGCCTATATCTACTGCTATCAACTAGTAGATATAGGCAAACAGTTAAAAAAAACAACAACAAAAACGCTTTAACAGCTCCCGCCCGAGAAAACTAAACTGTTCGGGCGGCCGCAAAAAACTTAGGGCGGGCACATGCACAGTTCGGATTCTCGGCCGGGAGACGGGCAGAGAAGCAAGGTAAGTCTATGGACGCGTGCACCCGCATGCAGACACCGTGGGATTAGAAGTGCCAGCAAGCAGAGAGGAGATAGCGCTGGATCGGAGAGCCGCCACACCGCTGGAGGGACAGATAAAAACATCAGGAAAGAAGATCGGATTAAGAGACATCATTTAAGGTAAGTGCTGACATTAACATTGGGGGAGGGAAAAATAATGTATCCTTTAATGTCACTTTAATGTTTTGTCACCCTCTTTTGCCTCTGTCCCAGAATTGTTGCCCCATCTATTTGGCTGAGATGTGCAACCCCCACCCCACTTTGTTGCCTCCAATTTCGTACCATAAGCTGCCTGTGTGCCCCCTGTCTGTTTGTCTTTGTTGTCTTTTAAACAGCAGCCATAGCTCAAGTAGAAAAGCCGATGTCCAGCCAGTATGCTGTGGAGTGGGACCCTTGCTGGAAGTGGTGATCCCTCTGCAGAGGTCTGACATGCCCTCTCCTTAGTCAAATCCATAGCTCTTCAATCAGCATCAAACATACTGCAAGCTTTTCTGACTGGTAAGCTCTAACTCTGACTCAGTAAGGTACATGTTGGACCTCTAGCGACAGACCAATGCTTTCACACAGAAAGCAAGGACCCCACTCTGCAGCATGCTGGCAGAGGCAGGCTTTTTTACTCCAGCCACTGTAGTGGCTTTACTCTAGCAGATTTGAGATAGGAAATCTCAAATCTCAAAGTGATCAGTGTAGTGTCGGGCACAGAGTTTGTCAGCAGATGGTCGAGATGCTTAACCAGCTGCCGGTTCTTCCAGCCTCTCTCCCCCTCTGCTTCAGCAGTTTAAGGATCCTTTTGACATCACATCCAATACACTGTGTATTGGACTTGAGGATGCCAAGGGACATACCATTGCTGCAGGGGAGGAGAAGAGGGGCTGGAGGGAGCACTCTCACAGATCTTACACCCTAGATGAAAACACTTAAAGTGACATTAAAGTCAAACTTTTTTTTTGCCCCTTCCCAATCCTGCTGTAAGGACCTTAAATGATGCCTCTTGATCCGATCATCTTCTTCTTTACTGTCCTTTTCAGCTGTCCCTCCAGCGCTGGTGCAGGTCTCAGATGCAGGGCTGACTCCTCTGTTCTCCTCTCCTCTGATGTCCCACAGAGTCTGTGCGGGTGCACGCTGCTACATAGACTTACCTTGCGTCTCTCCTCATCTCCCGGCCGAATATCTGAAGTGCGCATGCGTCCGCATCCTCTGCGGGTTTAATAACCCTTTAACCCTTACAATGCAGGGGTAGCCACACTGCAAGGGGTAAGAATATTTTTTGCCAGAGTTCTCCTTAAAACGTAGTCCATATATATTGTTTCCTATGTTAAACTCTGATGAAGGGGGCAAAGTTGGGCTTTCAACACGTGTTGGCTTCCTCATTTGATCTTTTTGTTAACCTTACATTGTAATAAAGTTGTAAATGGTCTATTGACTTGTGGTGTGGCTTCTATCTGAAATTCATTGTTTTATCTGCCAAAAGGTGGCAACTGTTGTTCTCCTAAGGCTGGACACACGCCTCAAATTTCTCTCATTCAGACCCAGCGGCCGGATGACAGAAATCCAGTGATATCCTACTGCTGGAATTATAGTATATCCCAGTGATTTATTGTATACCTGAACAGTGCATGTATATGAATGGATTTTGGGTTGGGAGTTGGTTAAACCAGATGAAATTGTATTAGTATTTGGACAGCAGAGGTAAAGAGGAAACAAAGGGCAGTATGGGGGTGATTATTGTATGTACACATAACAAGGGGCAGTAAGGGGGTAATTATTGTATGTACACATAACAAGGGGCAGCAAGGGGGGTGATTATTGTATGTACACATAACAAGGGGCAGTAAGGGGGTCATTATTGTATGTAAACATAACAAGGGGCAGTAAGGGGGTCATTATTGTATGTACACATAACAAGGGGCAAAACACTGGGCATTACTTACCTTCCTAAAGGTATACGATATAAACTAGTCTCATATAACTAATTCCGTCATTATGTATCTCATCCGATCACGCCCTCGAGCCCCGTTCTTTTGCCACAGCGTCCGTCTCTGAAACCCTAGCAACAGTTTCCATAACCACAACGTCACTTCCCATCTGCCCTAATCCGTCGGATGTGTTACGTCATCGCGCATTCTGCGCTGCATGATGGAGTTGTAGTTTTCTGGGTTCCGTTTCCAAAAGCGATTCCTTAGACGGGATCTACATATCCCAAGATTCCGTGCGCAGTGCACCAAGGAGGCATGTTTAAAGGCAACACAAGAAGGATGAAACGCTACGCAAAGGGTGACAGTGAGAAGGAAGTCAAGGTATTTTAAACATTTCGTAAACAGTTTGTTCATGAGCTGAACGGAGAATGCCGGCTAATTAATAATGTGATAATATAGGTCATCAGTAAAAGATGAGAGGATTTATTAAACAGAAGTTATCTGATCTTTTTTTTTTTTTTACAAATCAAATAAACTTTCCTTTTTCTGTGCTTTTACCAACATTTATATTTAAGTAGGTGACAAGGACTCTTTATAGCTTTGCTGTACATCAGTGTTTCTGGATGTCCATTTGTCCAAGGGCCATCAAGGAATGATTTGTAAAGCTTTGCTTGCTATCCTTAACTAAGGAAAAACCTTAAATATAGTATATATTGTTACTATAAACAGTTATTTTATTGGTGTGCAATGTCCCTCTGAAGTTGCTAGTTACTTCAAGGAGAGTCCGTTCTCTAGCACTTCCTCCTTGCCTGTAATAGTCCTCTCTTCTTCTGGGAGTGCCTTATTACTCCCTGTGCTGGCCCAGCCCCTTCACTCCTCATCTCCTTACATAATCTTTTGAAGGACAGCTGGGGTAGGCAAAATCTGGCCCTCCCAGATGTGGTGAAACTGCAAATGCCATCATGCATCAGCCTCTGGGTGTCATGTCTTGCAATGCTTAATTGGATTTGTAGTTAGATGACAGCTGGAGGACCGGAGTTTGTCTACCCCGATAATATAAGCTGCAGCAGCTATCCTGAGCCCACATTAATTTCCTGTCTGGACAACCTCCATCATTCATTAATCACTGACGTTTGCCCCCTTCTCATAGCTCTTAGCTTTGTCTGCTAATGTCATTTTGTTCCTGAGGTTTATGTGAAACAACACATCCCTGGCATACCTGCAACAAGCCAGCCAAGTAGTAGACTGCACAGCTAAAGTCTGCAGCAGGGATGTGCGGTCAGGGGAGGCAGAGCCTCACCTACTATTATGGAGGAAAAAGGTGTCAGCTTCAAGTCTGAAGCTGACAGCTCTTTCTCCTTTCAGAGCAGCTTGTAACAGGTTACGCAGCAGGGAAAGCCTCCCCGCTGTGTTAATTACAGGCAGCGCTGCATCCAGCTTTTGACAGGTAGTTAGGTTACACAGCAGCGGGCTTCCCTACTGCTTGTGTAACCTAATTTGGTGAGGCAAGAGCTGTCACAGCCTCTACTCTGTGTTAGAGGTGTGAGCTCTGTGGATGGCTTGGAGCAATGGTAAAGCGTCATTGGTCCAAGCTATCCAATAAAAAAACGGGAAAAAAAACAAAAACAGTGAGGATATCGATCTCGATGCCTGACATGTGATGGACAGGGAGGCTCCTTCCTTCCTCCTCCCCACATAGCTTGGTTACCAAGCTGGGGGCGGAGCTTTGGCTGGCTGGGGGATGCACGTCACTGGTCTGCAGATCCCACTGGCTACCAGGGAGAAGCAGCAACATAATTCCTTTGACAAAGATCTGAGGGGTAATGCTGTAACGTTTCCAGGTCCCTACTGACCCATCCCACCAAACTGGGAACAAAGAACAGCAGGCAGACTTATTGATGGCATCACTGGGTCTCAAAACAGGCATTTCAAACAAAATATTTGATTTAAAATGTTTTATTGTATATGTATCAGGAGGAGAGGGGAACAAGAGAAGATATTATATGTGTATACAACACTTTAGCTTTAAAGTACAACTAAAGGCTCCTGTATGACAGTCTAAACAAGACCCAATTCCAATCACTATGTTATGCACGTGCCTCATAAAGTGAACAAATACACTTACAGTTCTCCGACTGAGCAAATCCTCCTTCATTTGTGCCTCATATGTTCCCCCTCTCATGCAATGCAGCCTACAGTGGGAGGATTTCAGCAACAGAGGCAGTGCTGATGATCCAGAAAGCCATGGCAACTATGCTCTGAATTCAGTAGCAGTGCAGCATCGTTACCACACAATTACAGGAAGCTGAATTAGGTGGACTTCACCAGGAAGGATTATCAGGTATTTGTGCAATTTTGCAGGTAGACTGAAGAAAAGCTGTAAGTGCAGATGCACTTATAATTAAAGTGAAACTGAATTCAGCAGTTAAATCCCTAGCCAGGGAATTTTCTTGGAAATTACTATTTAGACCAGATCTGATCAGTCAGGGTCCTGTTTATCACCCTCATGTTAAATCTCGGCAATTGTTGGCATGTTACCAAGTACCCAGATAGCAAGGATAACTTGCTACAAACTTGTGGCAGGGTAAAATTGTAATTTTTGTTAACTTGCTGCACATATTCCTGGCAAGTTGTAGACTTGCAGAACACTTCCATCACAAGTTCTAGTTGACACTTTTTGAATTTGTAGCAAATTTGCTTGGCAAGTCTACAGCAAGAGTTCTGCAGATCTTAGCAAGAGCTCTGCAAACTCGCTGGTCTGGAGACTTGCAATGCAGACTTGCTGTAATTGTGCAACAAAATTGTGAAGCTTGGCAAGTCTGCAATAGTTTAGCAAGTCATTTTCAAACTTGCAGCTCAATTGCTTGCTATCTGGGTAGCAGCTCCTGAGAGTTAAATATGTTATGAAAACGTGTTCACACTTTGACGTCAAGTTATACAAAGGTTACCAGAGACAGTAATCAAAGTACTTAAAAAGTGGTTTCTTCATGGTCAAGATACCTCTTCAGACATCCCTATAGTTTTAAACTTTTTTTTGCAGGATGAATTTAAGGGCTCCCTGTTTGCACACACAAAGTTCAGATGACAACATTAAATGTATTTCTTAACCAAAATCTAATTGCAAGGTCTAGATGTTAGCTGTGTGTCAAGCATGTGTCAATATCTAAAACTACCCCAGTCAAGTTGTTTCTTCACGGGGACTTATCTGTAGTCCTTCAGCACTTCCAAAATCAGCTTTGGGCCTGACAGGTCATCTTCCCCAGCCAGTATAATTTTCCAGCTGGCTATTCTGGTTATACATAAGCACACAGAATTAGTGGGTTGCATGCCCTCTTTGTTTAGGGATATTTTCTGAAGATATTTGTTGTGAAGACAGAGGTCTGCTGTTGATTAAAAAACAAAAAACAAAGGCTCACCTTTTTGTTGTAGTCCTTTTGAATAACAGGGAAGTCTTTCATATACTTGGTCAAAGACAATCTCAAATCCTAAACCCTTAAGTAATGTCGTGGGACCAGGGGTGCCCTCTTACCTGTAGTTCGGCAGGTGCGACGGAGATCGTAGGGTCCTTCTTGGGGTGAATTGGTGCCCGGCGGCGTGCTGCATGTGTGCACATGAGCGCATGCATGACATGCGTGCGCATGTGGCAATGCCGTGGCTTCTTAGCTGCTTCGGGTGCTGGTCATTGCCGGGGAGGGCCTTGCAAACACTCCTTCTCTCCCAGCCGTCCCATTGGTTCGCAGGGACCTGTGGCTTCCTGTTGCCCAGACAACAGGGGCGTCGCTAGCCCCTGCTGGGTTTAAATTCCAGCCAGAGCCAAGACTTGTTGCTGAGTTATTCTGCCATTCCCTAAGCAGCTACAACGCCTCATTTCCTGTTTCCTGCCTCCCTTCCCTGCTATTCGGATCTCCTGGTTATCGACCCCTGGCTTGCCTCACCGTTTATGATACTCGCTGCCTGCCTCGACCCGGACTGTACTCTGACATCGCATTTTGGATTATCCTTTCTTGTACCTCAGCCTGGACTCTCCTTCTGGGATTGTTCCCTGCTATTGGGTTCCAATCCAGCAAACAGGGGGACTTTGTTCCTTCCCTAACAATTAAGTATGAGGCAATGCTTGTCCGTTTTTAGATTGTGCAAAGGGAATACATCTTCTAGAGATTCCAGCACTGGATGGTTAAAATGTGCCAAAATAAAGTTTACAGAATCCCTGGAAGGTGTCAAAATCCAATCCACAAGAGCCACAGTTGCCTTCTGGGCAGAGAACGCTTGTGCTTCTCTATAACAAATAGCAAAACTGTGAAACAAAGCAGCAAATGGTCAAGTCTTTTCATTAGTTCCTCACTATAGAACATTCCTGTTACATGCTCCAGATGAGTCTTTCAACAGAAACATTTTTCAGACATTTTGTCACTGCCTGATCTGGTTAGGTCTCAATCCGATCATGTGATATACTGAAAGGCAACTGACAAAAACCAAAACAAATTTACCAATAACTCCATTTGGAGGAGTCTTCCAGGACAGCAGGGTTTCTTGCCATTGAGAATGGATCCTCTTTGTACTCTGACATTCCTGACCATGGGGTACAGAGGACCTCTGTAAAAACTATTTGATATCATGTTTCCTGTCCTTGTGGATAAATTGTCAGTCTTTCATGTGCTACCCTGGACTAGAGTTTTTTTTGCAGAAATATAGTTTATTGACATTTTTCAGACAAATAAGACAAATAATTGTAACAACATACCAAGGCAGCAACAAGTGTGCATCTATGAGGATAGTAGGATAGCAGTGTATCATATCAACCGTAACTACAGTACACGTGATAATGTGCCCAAGGTCAAGCCGTGCCTCCAACCAAATTCCCAACCCTGCCCTGAGGGCCTCAGACATCGAAAGCCCACCCCGGGGGGGGGGGGGGGGGGGGGGGTGACAACAGAAGGACACAGAGACAAAGAAAGACAAGGAAGAAAGATAGAAAGGAGGGCGAGGAAGAGGGTATTACGCGATCAAGGAGAACAGATTATGTATCTATGCCATTGTCCTAAACTCATCCGATTCCATAAACATTAGCCAGTGCCTCCATCTTGACCGGAAGGTCTCAGCAATCGGCTCCTCAGATCTCATTAGACGGCACATTTCCGTGGCCCATTCCCCCAAGGTAGGAATCACCTGCGAGTTCCAGTGTCTAGGGATCAGTGCCCTAGCGGCATTCACGAAAAATCTTAAGAGGGATTTCTTCGCCTGGGAGATGGAACCTGGGTAAACCGATAGTATTGCCATTTGGGGTGTGAGATGGAGTTTTCTGGCAGACATTCTCGAGTACACGTGTGAGACAGTTCGCCAAAAGGGGACAATCAGGGGGCAGCTCCACCAGATATGTGTTA